ATACTGGATACCACTGACGGTACAAAAACATCTTTTATAAAATCTTAATATTTGGGGGCTAGAGAGATGGCTCAGTGGTTAAGAGTACTTTGCAAAGGACCCAGGTTCAACTCCCAGCACTCACATGGTAGCTAACAACGACCTGTAACTCCAGTTCCCAGGGAATCTGACACCCTCTATTGACCTCTATGGGTGTATACACATGCAGGCAATACATCCATACACATAAAAAAATTTTATTAGGGCGTGGTGGTGCACGCCTTTAATCCCAACACTCCGAAAACAGAGGCAGGTGGATCTCTGTGAGTTCAAGGCCAGCCTGGTCTACATAGTGAGTTCCAGGACAGCTGGAGCTACAGGGAGACCCTGTATCAAAAAGACCAAATTAATTAATTAATAATAATAGTAGTAATTTTTTTTTAATTTTAAGATTGCCAGGCGTGGTTGTGCATGCCTTTAATTCCAGCACTTGGGAGGCAGAGGCAGGCAGATCTCTGTGAGATCAAAGCCAACGTGATCTACGTAATGAGTTCCAGGTCAACTGGGGCTACAGAGACCCTGTCTCAAGAAGATCAAAATAAAAAAAAATCTTACTATTTCTCTATTGATTATATATTGAAATGATGAACTTATGGCTTTACTTTTTAATAGCTTCTAAGAAATTCTAAATTATACATTACACATATAGCCCACATAGCTTATTTGTAGATTTTTTATTATTATTATTCACACCCACAGGACTGTGTACATGTCAAACAAGTGCTCTACCATTGAGCTACATCCCAGGCCTTAAAAACCTTTCTGGGGGACTGGAGAATTGGCTCAGCTGTTAAGAGCACTGACTGCTCTTGCAGAGGACCCAGGTTCGATTCCCAGCACCCACATGGCGGCTACGAACCGTCCTTAACTCCAGTTCCAGGGGAATCTGAAGCCCTCTTCTGACCTCTTTGGGAATTGCATGACACAGATTTACATAAATGCAGGTAATATACTTATACACATTAAAAAAAAAAAAAATTAGCCAGGCGTGGTGGTGCACACCTGTAGTCCCAGCACTAGGAGGCAGAGGCAGGCGGATCTCTGTGAGTTCAAGGCCAGCCTGGTCTACATAGTGAATTCCAGGAAAGCTGGGGCTACAGGGAGACCCTGTCTCAAAAAGACCAAAAAAAAAAAAAAAAAAAAAAATTAAGGTCAGGCGTGGCAGCACATGCGTTTAATCCCAGCACTTGGGAGACAGAGGCAGGTAGATCTTTGTGAGTTTGAGGCCAGTGTGGTCTATATTATGAGTTCCAACCCAGCTGGGGCTACAGGGAAGATTCTGTCTCAAAAAGAACAAAACAAACATTTCTGGGGTTTGTGCTTTTTTTGGCTCTTATTTTTTGTTTGTGTTTTCATTTTGTTTTCTTTCTATTTTTTATTTTATTTATGGGATGCTAGAGACTGAACCTAGGGCCTGTGCCTGCTAGGCAACACATAATCCACACACACATACCCCCATGGTCCACATATGGGTAGCAAGCATTCTTCTAGAAAATACAAAAGCTACAACATGGGTTTAGAAACATATGATACTTATTATTTGTCTCTCTGCCATACTTGTTTTCATGTGAAAAAAAATGTACTGCCAACAGACCTTAGGAATGTTTTATTGTTCTGTTTGAAACAAGGTCTCACACTGTATCCCAGACTGATCTGAACTATGTAGCCCAGGCTGGCAAAAAAACCCACAGCAATCCTACTGCCTCAGTCCTAGGAAGGAATGGTTTAAAAAAACGATAATAGCATCTAAACATTCTGATCAGGACTGAAAACAATATTTTCAAAAGTATCAATGATGTTTAAGTTTCTTACAAAGGGTGACCCCAATTCCTTCTTGTCACTATCTCTTAAGATATTTATGTAACAAGAACTGTTTCCATCTATGAAGTCATTCCGAAATGCTGAAGGCTGAATGTATTTGGAATTGCACTAATTAAAATCACTTTGGTCATCCAGTACAGCTGAAGTCAGACGTTCCTTCAGGGACTGCCCCCTTGGGTGCTGCTCAAATCCACTAGGTTATACATTAGTTGTTCTATAGTAGATTCCAGTGTCATTCACTGCATGACTTGGGGCAAACCACTTCACCCTGGTGACAGATATGTGTATGTCTAGAACTTACTGAGAAGTATGCAGTCTGGGCTACATAATAAATTACTATTCACTTCACTGTTCAACTCACAAAAGAGAACTGGTAGAATATTACCAGAGAACCAGCTGTGCAACTGAACATAACCTTGTGAAGTTCCACTTCCTTACTTCTACAATAGGAATAAAAGCATCCATTTTACAAAGGAATTTGGTGATCAAACAAGGGAAAGCTGAATGCCCAACCTGTTGCCTAGCACTGAGGAAACCCAAACTTCTCTTCGGACTCCACTCTGCTCTTTGGGCTTCAGTTCTCTTTACCTTAAAAGTTGGGGATTACAACTAAAAAGTTAGGGATTATAGCTAAAACGAGAGCCTACAAACTTTCAGTTGTTCTTAAGCAAGTAAGACCACTTAAAGCTCTGAAAAAGTGTCCTAAAAGTGGGCTTTCTGGGGACTGGAGAGATGACTCAGTGATTAAAAGCACCGACTGCTCTTGCAGAGGACCCGGGTTTGATTCCCAGCACCCATATGGTGGCTACGAACCATCCTTAACTCCAGTTCCAGGGGAATCCGACGCCCTCTTCTGACCTCTGAGGCATTGCACAGGTACACTCATACACATAAAATAATAAAATATGTATTTTTTTAAAAGTGGGCTTTCTCCTTTTGTAGATTTTCTCTAGTAAACAACAGTTCATGATTACCGAGTTTCCAATATTAAGTGGCTATTGTATCTAGTTTCCTAGCATCTGAAAGACAGTAACCTAGAAACACCCACATACAAGGGAGAGTGAAGGGTTTCTCAGACTCCCCAGGAATCCTCCAGCTCCAGCGGTTCCCATTCTCCATGGGAATGACTACACCACAGTGTGTCTGATCCTTTCATTATTGAGGCCATTCCAGTTCTGTGCCCTCCTTCGCTTGCTGTAAGCAAACACAGCTGCTTCTCCTTCAGATTGCATAGCTCAATTTATTGGAAACATGTTTTGTCCTACCATTAAACTGAGGATCCCTTTTCTTTCTCCATTCTGTGGAATTTCTCTAAATCCAATGACCCAGTCTATCTCACAGAGCAAGCTGAGGGATACAACTGAGAGAGATCGGTATTTATATATTTCTTAACTTTTTCCTTGAGTCACTGAAATTATTCACACACTGCTCTAAAGCGGCCTAAGTAATACAGGGCATTATACACACATTATACGCTTGAACTAAATATGTGTGTCTTGAAGAGAGACATACTTAGAATACTGAAGTTCTTGGGTTTCAAATAGATGGGAGATGAGAGAGACTTAAGCATCAGGCACTTGGTCCTAGTTCAATAACGTCAATTATTTCTCAATGTCTATGTATTTGTTACGGTTTGAGGGTTTTTTTTTATTTTTTTTTTTAATTTCTGGTTTTGTTGGCTTTTTTAGGATCTCACTATGCCCCTCAGGTTGGTCTTTAACTCCTGAGTTCAAGTGATCCTTCTATCTCAGTCTCCCAGGTGGGGAGACTACAGGAGTCCGTCACCTCAGCCAGCTTCTATGTGTCTACATGTCAACAAGTGCACTGGAACTCATATGCCTCTGGGTCTAGGGGGCTAACAGAAGTCTGAATCACCCAGACTCCCAATCAGTACTCAAATATGTGCAGGAGATAATGAACCTTCTTTGAGGATAGCTGAACAAATTTCCCACATAAATGCAGTTTCTCCTTTGTAACCACAACATGCTTCCTCTACACCGTCATACTGCATGCATCCAACTGAATCACACTGTACACAGATTTCCCTTTCCTAACTGATTTCCTTCACTACCCTGGACCAAGCACAGCACATAGCTAATGCTCAGTAATGTGGGCAGAAATAGGAACATCTACGGATTCACAAGCACTGTGAGCTGAGATTATGCAAAACCACAAGATAAGAATCTTCCCAGACATCAAGCTTAAAACGTTTTTTAAAAACACTTAAAAGCAAAATCTGCATGGAATTTTAAAATGAGTTGTCTCCTCATGGCAGGCTGGCAGCTTCAAAATCCAGGACTGTGCCCTTGACTGCCAGGTGTCCAAGTTCCCTACCCTGTGTCCTTCCCAAAGATAAGAAATCTGAGCTCTGGACTCTAAGCACCTTACTTTTGAAAAGATGAAAGCACTTTATCATGGGTCAAAGATCACCAGTGCCATTTCCAAGTGGAGAAAAAGCAAGTTTAACTTGCCTAGACTTCTCAGAAAGTTAATGCTGAGGGTTAGAGAAAGGTCCTCATCAGTTGTTGACCCTCAGAGACATTTCCTTAACAAGCCTGTAAAAGTGCACCATCTCTCCAGCCCCCAAAGTGCTATATTTTTTTAAAGACATGTAATGCCAAATTTTGTTTCGGCCCAGAAACCTTTTGATTACTTCCTGCAAAGGAGGCCATCATCAAAGACACCCTGAAGTAACCGCTGCACCTCTCAACAGGGAACCCTTAAGGGAGCCTAAGTAAACCTAGATCAGAAGCAATTCTCTAGGCTCTTCGGGTGGGAGCTCTGGGCGCACACCTGAAGTGTCTAGAGCCCCAGTACAAGATGGTAGTGAGGTGGTGAAACCTTCACAGTAATTTCCCTCGTAGAGGGGTTTCCACACTCTGAAGGGCTTCCAACAAAGTGCCAGAACTTTCTGAACTTTTCCCCACTCCAAATTGCTCTTGACCCACCCTGTCGGAAAGAAAGCAGGCACCAAGTGGCAGGGCAAACATCCTGAGTGGGACGTGTGATTGCGAAACCCGGTCCTCAGCTTCCCAGTACACTCAGGGGCCCCTGAAGGCTCCAGCGGGATGCAGGCAGGATGCAGGCGGGCTGGACCACCCACAGCAGCTCTCGGGCCTGGGGCCCGAGTCCGCACTCACCTTGGCAGATGTCTCCCCGAACAGAGGTCTGTTGTCCAGGCCACTGGTCCCGTAGGTCCTGGTGGTAAAGTCCTCCATTTTGGGGCTCTTTCGCTCGTCCCAAGCCTCTCAAAGGCGAGTCCGCATTAACTCGCGAAGTCTCGGTCCCCGGCTCCGGACGCCTGCCCGTCACGGCGCACGCATGGCCACGGGCCCTGGAGGTCCGGGAAGTCCCGAACGGGCGTCGGTCACTCCCGGGGGACGCCGCCGCTCCGCCCCAGCCCCGCTCTCCTCATCCTGAGCAGCTGCGGAGGGAAGTGAAAGGAAATACACAGCTCTCGGCCCTCTCCACGGCCGCCCCCGCCCTCGCGCGGCTCCCGCTTCCCCAAATCTCGGCTCGGCTGCCCGCCGCGGCCTCCCCGCCCCCGAGCGCGCTGCACCGTACGGGCTCCGGGACGCTCCACGCCACCGCGCTCCACGCCAAAGTTTCTTGGCCGAGCCGAGCGAGGACGGCTCCCGAGTCACCCCCGCGCGGCGGGCGCCGGGAGTGAAGTTGCCAAGCGAGCCCGCACACCTCCCGCGCCCGAGGACCCGCGTCCCGCCGCGGTGGCGCCCCGCCACCTGGCTCCCCTGACCGGCGCCGCGTCCACCCGGACGGGCCGAGCTCCCCGCAGCAGCACCCGCCCGGCCAGCGAGCGAGGGCATCCCGCCTGGGCC